GAATTCAAAACACAGGTGTTCTGAGTATTGTCTGTGTGTGCAAATCGATAGATGCAGCTTTTCACATCAGAGCTGTGAGTATAAATTTCAACTTACAAATACAAATATTGATTTTACAAGTTCTCTCATTCAAATTAGCAAGCTCTCGAGTTTTGCTACTGTTTTACCTTCATACAGTGACAGCAGGCCTCCGCCTCTCAGGGTCTGCAAGACAGGACATCCGCATTGCCATGGAGCAGGCCTGTCCGCTGCTGGATGCTGAAATGGTATGCTGGAGTGGCTCAAGTCAGCAGGCCACTTGTCCCTCAGGCTCCTGGAAGTTGAGGAGCCAGGAAAGTGACGTGTAGCTGGTCCTCAGGGAGAAGTAGGCGCGATAGAGGCAGGCTGAAAAGGCTTCAGGCTCACAGCCAGTGTGTGGGTAGATTGCTCCACCAAACCATTGCTCTGAGGGTGCAGGGGGGTGGAGTGCTTCAGTTCAACCAACCCGTTGAGTATAAAGAGTTACAATCACAACGTACTACACTGATTGGTTGAAACAAAATCTTGTTCTGGATTTTTACTTTCTGGACATAAACTATCCACCTCTGCCCACAAGTTCAACATTTTGCCCGCAATTATAACTTACAAGTAAGTAATCTACAAGATATTGCTGGATGACCTCAGGCACGCTGGAAAGTCACTTACTGACATGGCAAACCAGGTGACGCCCCGGAAATATGAGCGCAGTCACCAGGCCTATTTGCTTAGTTATCAGAACATCTGTGATGCTGAGGCAGGGGTTTATGGCCAGAAGCCCTTCAGGGAATTTATTAGGAAAGACAGCAAACCAGCTCCTTTTGGTGACTATGCAGGACTGCCCCCCCGGCAGCTGAGAATTCTACCACTGAACCACCGGTGCTGCTTCCTTATGCCGCTGCAGTCTGAGATCTCATGATGTACACCTTGCCTATTCATCTTTCATACATTACTCCTCATCCATTAAGATGCTTTTTTTCCCAGAATAATATGATAGATGTAAATATTTAGTGCTGTATTGCTATAACCAGTAGTCCCTTAAACATCTTCACTGTGACTCTTTTGCATGGAATTCCTCCTACCGTACAAAGACAGTGAATTGTTCTGTCTAAATTGAGTGTGTATGTCCTGTGATGGACTAGGATGCTGTGCTGGGTGTTCTACTGTCTGTACCTTCTGCGGTCTGGGATTGGCTCCAGGTTTCATATAACCCTGAACTGGATAAGCACTTTGGAAGTTGGATAAATATTTTATGATTTTTTTTACCTTCAAATTACAAAAAGACAACAGCATTAATTACCAAAGTAAAAACAGAAAACGAAAGGTTGTAAGTCTCAATTTTACTTCTTGATAAGGCAGGTTTACAGCGGTGGCACGATGTGCAGATGGTGACGTGTTTTTGCTGCCAGCAGTGTAACATCAACACCAAATAATAATAATGCTTCCCAGAAATACCACGGAACATTCTAGAAGGAATCTGACAGAGGAGTCATATCCCAGCATGGTGATGAGGACTCTGAACTTACCCAGGTAGACAGTACAGAAGTTAAGGGTTTAGAAGTGGTCATCCTAAATGACGCCTGCTTTGTGGATATGAGACCCCTGATGACCATTGACAAAGATGTCCCTGCTCCAGAGGTGGAGTGTTCAGGCCCAGAAAGTAAAAATCCAGACCAAGATTTTCTTTTGACCAATTAGTTTGATACTCTGTGACCAGAATTGGGTAATTCAGGTCCAGAGAGTACAAGTCTCGACCAGGATTTTGTTTCAACCAACCAGTTGAATACTCCGTGACTGTTTATACTCAACTGGTTGTTTGAAACAAAATCCTGGTCGAGACTTGTACTCTCTGGACCTGAATTACCCAACGCTGTCTGTGGCTGTGACTCATTATACTCAAGTGCTCAGTTGAAATAAAACTGAATTTTTACTTTCTGGACCTGAACTATTCACTTCTGCCCTGATCAGAGATACGTTATGTTATATCATGACCAAAGTCACAGTGATCTACAATGAAATGGGTCAGTTTCCTACGTAAGAGCTGGGATGTGCTTCACAAAGAATCTCTCAAATAAGGCTGTATATCCTATGAGCAGAACCATGACCATGTCATCTTCCCTGTAGCCAGTCAGGAATGTGACAAACAGTGCTACACATCCTGTGTTTCAGGGATCCGGGGAGGCACATCCACACGCTGTCTAATATTTGCCTCTCGTGGAGCCAGGGCCTCCACCGGCTCTTCATCCATGTCTGGGTAGATAACCAGGAAGGTGGAAGTGAGGAAGGCCAGGAAGGAGGCTCCTGACGCCACTATGGGAATGACCCTCACGCTGTCGATGGCATCCACCACAAAGCCAAGTGCTGAGGCCACCAGAATCTGTGCCACATACACTTGACAGGTCAGGATAGCACAGTCGATGCCAAAACCTCGCTTGGACTTCCCAGGACTGTGACGGAGGTACTGTATGAAAAGAACCAAAGAAATCGATTAGTCTATGTTAATATGAGAAACGTCACACTTAAGCTTGATTTTGAATTTTTCAGAATCGATTATAGATGGAGAGTCGCACCTCACTGAGTTCATGGTATTGGCCTAGCAGAGCGTAGGGGCTGTAAGACATGCTCATGGATAAAATGCCCATGGTAGATATCATCGTCATAGATACATAAACATTTGGGAAAATGGCCATTGTGGCCGTGCCGATGGAGAATCCCAGCGTGCCCAGAATGTAGATGATCTTGATGCTGAGGTCAAAGAGGTCCAAGAACTTTTGGAGCAAGGCTGTAAAATAAATAAATCAAATCTGTTTAGAGCAGCACATGAATGAGTGTCACACTGAATGAATGATGACCACAAATAGTCATGTGCGTCCTACAAGGTTAACCACCTGAGCAAACGGCAGCTGTAGCAGCATAGATGGCCAGTCCCCAGCAACCCTTCTGGACACCTTGGCGGTAGTCCAGTAGGGCTGTTGAGTTTGCAGTAGCCTGGAAATGAAAAGATAAAATATTATTTGTTTATATTTACATATATATATATATATATATATAGCTCCAAACATCATATTTCTCAGCAATGTTGTATTATGGTTATGATAACATGGGGCAAATATGTTTTTACCGAAGGATCTCCATCGTAGACAACTTGACCCATGAAGTCCGTGTAGAAGACGACCTGAGCGGTTAAGGAGAACCAGGTGAGCAGATGGCAGAGGCAGAGGCGGCGCAGCGCTGAGGGCATCGTGAGCATCGAGAGCCAGATCAGACGCACGCTGGTCTCAGGTTCCTCCTGCTCCTCACTTTCAGCGCTGGAGGCGGAGCTCAAAGTGCGGCGTCCCGACCAGAGTCGAGGGCGACTCCTCGGCTCGCAGATATCATTCACACTACGGGACAGCTTGACCGGCATGCCCGCTCGCCCATGCCGGATGTTGCCGCCCGCCCTGCAGTGGCAGGAGAGCGTGAAGGAGGTCTGCCTGTACAGCGTGTGGCAAAGAGGCCTCATGGGATGGCTGGGGGTTAAGCCAACAAAAGCATGGCTGCCAGGACTGTGTTTCAAACCAAGATCTCTTGTAGAAGGTTTGGCTTTTGGCTCTTCGATTATGACCATCGCTTTCTCCTGAGATTCCTGCCGTGAGGGGGACTGAGTGAGTTTCTCCTGGTTGCTTTCATTACTTCCAGGGTGACTGCCTATTCCCTGGTCTGAGAACCTCAGATCCCGAAAGATGGACAGTTCAATCTCTTGATGGAAGACACTTAGACGATCTAGATGCAGAGTAGCGTCAGCCGTGGTCAATGCGGAGTCACTTTTGCTCCTTATGAGGCGCCTGACTACATCTCGCTCAGAGCAGCCGTCCCTACAGGGCTGGTGAGGCTCATCGCCGGCGAAGACGTCCAGCTGCGGAACTTCTTCAGGGGACATGCTGTCCTTCTCGTCCTCTGGCTGCTGGCCCCAAATCCGCTCTTTAATGCTGAACAGATGCAGCACCACTGAGATAGTGAAGAAAACAGCAGTGAAGAAGAAGAGGATCTGCTCTCGTGCCTTGAAGGCCAAAGCCCAGAAGGTGGTGGTCCAGTCTATGCCTCCAATGATGTAACCCAGGGCTCCTCCCAAGCCTGTACATACAAGTTGTTAAGTTAGTGGTGAATACCAAGCAAATACTATCAGTCAACTCACTTTGGAATGGTGTTTTAATGAATAAGTAAGCTAAAACACCAGAATGCCTGCAAGCAGTTAAAACGTCCCCAAGTTTATAATATTAAAATAATATATTTATTTTACTATAAAAAATAACCATATGGAATGATCTCACAACACAGAATTACAATAAACAAAAAAATAATCTTTTGGAAATGTGGTTGGTATTAGTGGGTGTTAGCTTAGTATTTCACTAATGTGAAAATATTTAGCTGAACCGTTAAATCCGTAACGGCTTTTGTATGATTAAAATGGGAGTTTTGTTTATTTTTAGTGATCAGAAGTGGTGAATGCCCTGGGAAATGTAACGGTGAAGCTTTGGCATTGGCTTCTACGTGACCTTTCCATCTACCCGATGCTGCACTGACTACTTCCCCGTAATGACTGTGTGTCTCTGGGCTGTTCGGAGTGGGGTAACGAGGCTGAGAGGGACGCATACCGCCGCTGAAGGCATGGGTGTTGAGCGCTATGTCCTGCTCCTCCGTGTCGGCCACATCCAGCAGGTAGGCCCGAATCGGCCCGTCAGAACCATCCAAACAGAAGTCCAGTATCACGACTCCTACCACCGTCAGAATGAGACCCGTCAACTGCTGGTTTGGCACGTCCCCCACAGACAGACCTGCAGGCAAGAGCACCTCTTCTGTAAATGAAGGATGGTATCCATCCATCTTCCACCACATCACCATCACCAGGATCATGAGTGAAGACTGGAGCCTATTCCACTCGGCACCGGGCACACGGCCAGGGAGAAGACTGGACAGCCAAACAAACCACGATGATGGGATCAGTACCATTATTCACCATAACTTCTTTATTCAGCAAGGCATCGTTAAGAGTGAAAATGGGGCTAAACTCCTTTAATTCAAACAGAAAGATGAGTGTAGCTGTTCTGCCAGAAGGAATTATCTGTACTTCCGTTCACGCTTGGGCACATCGCTTTCGGTTCAGTGCACAAAATGACACGGATGAACACATTTCTTGACAGATGCGGAAATGAAATTCACAAGTATATGTTCAACAGGAAAAACATAATGGTAATTGTGGTTGTGAGATTGTTAAAGCTAATCCGGGTTACAGTCACAATCAGAGGTTTGGAAACATTTGGATTTCCCAATTAATTACACCAACACTTCACAGAATATTGTTGACAGGACCAAGACTGTTGTCACCTCCATTATACTGAACTTGGACATGTTGCGAAAACATGCAACGTGATAACTTGACAGAGATATCATGAGTGTGTGCCAGAGCCAGGCAGAAACAGCATCTGCAAGTTGGTCTCTACGTGCCATTTAAGCAAGTTAAGCTACTGATAGATGACCACACTCGGTAGTAGAGAACACAAGATGTAGTTCATTATGATTCTTATGATGTTATAATGTTCAAATCTTAAGTGCTATACATTTTTTTACGATGTGCAAACAAGCACGTCTTCTTAATCATTCATGTCGACAGATGCATTGCCTTTGGTTTACAACTTTTCCTCATTGTGTTTGCAGTTTTACTAATGAATATTCTCAGATCAAATTCTGTTTTCCCTACTGTACTGAAATTGCACTGAACCGTGACCCAAAATTTAAGTTTGTATCGAAAAGTGAATTTTGTGAACAGTTACACCCCTAACGGTAAACATAAAAAAAATCGTGAAAATGGCCCTTAATCATCGCATGTAAAGTGGTAGAAAGACAATTAATTTGTTTTGTTTTTATTTCAGACCGATAAAACCACTGAGGCACAAAACAGTGTGACATATCGGCTGGTACCTGGGTTGGTCCCGGAAGCAGTTTAATCCTGTGATTCAAACACAATGACATGACAAGCAGATACTGTCCTGAAGAAGCTGGAACCTGGAATACTGGCGTGCAGCATGGGCAACCATACAAACAAACCAGGGAAACTCCGGAAATATGAAACACACCTATTAGAGAGCCATTGAAGAAGAGCGCCAGTCCCACTAAGATGCCCAAACAGAGAGCCAAAATGAAGGGTCTTCGGCGACCCCATCTGCAGGTGCAGCCATCGCTGGCTGAGCCCAGCAATGGGGTGATGATCAGCCCGAGGACAGGGCTCAGGAACCACGTCAGGCTGTAGAACTGATCCGGAAGTCCTGGGCGGGAGAAGGACACAAAAAGTAGAGTCTCTTAGGGTGAAATCCCAAACGAGCAGAGGCTCCCATTTAGCATTATCACGTAATGACGATTAATAAATATCGTTAATATGTTGCAGATTTTTCTGCCGACACACCAGTTCATATGCTCCATCCAGCATAAGCCAAGGGGTTTTCTGCAGCGTCATTTGAAAAGCTGTAGACTGTGAGATTTTGAGTTTTAATCTCAAATTATTTTATTTTCAATTTCCTTACCACTTCAGGTGCATTATGTCTCCCTGTGTTGCAGCTTTCCTCCGAGTCTGACAGTGTATGTACCTCCTAAGGAACAAGAATCTCTGGTATGGTGGAACCTTGCTGTGCGCAGCCCTGGACGGGCCGCCAGTCCATCATAGGACACAGTTGCCTGACCATGTGACTCTGGACTGCTGCAGGGCACTCGTGTGACACAGGGAGAGCATGCACACTCCTAACACACACAGAAGCCACAATCCTGGGGGGGGGGGGGGCGAGGCGATGGTTCTAACCGCTGAGCCACTGTACTGCATAGGATACATGGCTAATAAAATAAGCGCCATGTAGCCACAAGGAAACATTAAAAAGGTACAGGTGAATGTCCATGTAGCTAAACAAATATTACCACCTTTAAAATACTAGACGAGGATGAATAACCCACTTGGTTACTCTACACTGTCCACCCATCAACGTTATGTACAGTACTGTGCAAAAGTCTTAGGCATTCTAAGAAGGTTCTGGCAAACTGTCAGGCAACTCAGGAGGGGGAAGCAGGGCATTACCCATGCTCTTTACAGCAAGGATGGAGAACTGTTGACCTCAACTGGGGATATAGTCGGGTGGTGGAAAGAATACTTCGAGGATCTCCTGAATCGCACTGATACGCATTCCTTGGAGGAATTAGAGCTGGAAGACTCTTCAGTGGTAGGGTTCCGGGGGAGGATAAGATTTGCTCCAAGTTCTTGGCGACTCGATGTTGTTGGGCTGTCTTGGCTGACACTCCTCTTCAACATTGCATGGATGTCGGGGACAGTGCCTTTGGATGGGCAGACTGGGGTGGTGGTCCCAGTCTTTAAGAAAGGGGACCGGAGGATGTGTTCCAGCTTCAGGGAGATAAAACTCCTCAGCCTCCCTGGGAAGGTCTATGCCGGGGTACTGGAGAGGAGGGTCTACAATCATGTCCCTCAATCAGGAGGGCATACAATCATGTCCCTCAGAGGGTCCTGTGGGGAGTGCTTCAGGAGTATGGGGTACCTGTACAAATGGAGCGAAGGCTTGGTTTGCATTGCCAGCAGTAAGTTGGACTCTTTCCCAGTGGGTATTGGACTCCGCCAAGGCTGCCCTTTGTCACCGATTCGATTCATCATTTTTATGGACAGAATTTATAGGTGTAGCCAAGGGGAGGAGGTGGTCTGGTTCGGGGACCTCAGGATTGCGTCTTTGCTTTTTTCAGATGATGTGGTGACCTGCAGCATGCACTGGGGCGGTCTGCAGCTGGGTGTGGACGGCTGGGATGAGGATCAGCACCTTCAAGTCTGAGGTCATGGTTCTTGAATGGAAAAGGGTGGATTGCCCTCTCCTGTTGGGGGAGGGGTTACCGCCTCAAGCGGAGGAGTTTAAAGTATCTCGGGGCCTTGTTCACAAGTGAGGGAACAAGAGAGCAGGAGATCGACAGACAGATCGGTGCAGCGTCAGCAGTAATGCAGACCCTGTACCATTCTGTCTTGTCAAAGAGGGAGCTGAGGTGGAAGGTGAAGGTTTACCAGTTGACCTACATTCTTACTCTCACCTATGGTCATGAGCTCTGGGTAATAACCGAAGCATGAGATTGTGGATGCAAGTGAGTTTCCTCCGCAGGGTGGCTGGGCTCCGCCTTACAGATACAGTGAGGAGGTCAGACATTTGGGAGGGACTCAGAGTAGAGCTGCTGCTCCTCCGCATCGAATCAGACTCAGAATCAGAATCCTTTTTATTAGCCAAGTATGGTTCGAGCATCTGTCGAGGATGCCTCCTGGACGGTTCTCTGGGGAGGTGTCCAACCGGGAGGAGGCCCCGGGGCAGACCCAGGACACGCTGGGGAGATTATGTCTCTCAGTTGGCCGGGAAGCGCCTTGGGATTCCCCCGGAGGAGCTGGAGGAGGTGGCTGGTGAGAGGGAGGTCTGGGCATCCCTGCTTAGGCTGCAAGCCCCGTGACCTGAGTCCGGATAAACGGCAGAAAATGGATGGATGGATGGATGGATGTATGGAATTAGTTGAAATTTAATGAGGAAAAGTTTGAATTTAGAGATCAGTGGTTATTGTTGACACACCACAGCACACAACAACGAAATGTGTCCTCTGCATTTAACCCATTTGTGACATCGTGACATAGCAGGGGGCAGCTAATTCAGCACCCGGGGAGCAGTGCTTGGGGGCGGTACCTTGCTCAGGGTACCTCAGTGGTGCCACGCTGGTCAGGGATTCAAACCTGCAATCTTTCAATTACAAGTGCACTTCCCTGACCATTAAACCACCACTGCCCACAAGAAAATAAAAGGCGCTTCAGTTTGGGAACTGAAACGGTGTTCATCTAGCCATCCAACAGGACATCAGTATCAGTAGAAGAAATTGTTTTATTTTTATAGAATTGCTGTTAATTTGTGTATGTTCTAATGTTAAATTGTGTTTTTTTTTTGAGCAAATATAGACTCACTACCCAGATAAACAGCCTTACGCATTTTCATTGACTAAGTCTTTTGCACAGTACTATAAAACAAACCTTCAGACAGGTGGACAGGGTCTCCCTGGGAATGTGTGGGTGTTTTTAAGTACCCGGCCCCTCTAAGCAAAGCCCCGTGTACCTGACACTGTAACCCCCACCGGAAAAGGAGTAACTGACACCTAAATCCTAACACTAGGCTGAAGGACACCTGGCTTTGTAAACACTTCTGTCTGTCATCATTACAGTACAGACCATAATAGCATCACATGGTCTGCTTACAGATGACTCCCTACCTATCTGCAGCAGTAATGGCGTCACCAAGGCCGTCTCCATGGCGTAGCAGAATTCCCGCCCAAACGTGATGGCGCCGTGCATGACCCACTGCCTCATGGGGACGTGGTCACCAGACTCCTGCCCATTGCTGGACCCGTTCACCAAGACCGTCTGCTCGCCTTGAGCTTCTAGGCCGTCCGAAGCAGATTTCTGGGAAGACATGTTGGATTGGATCCGACCTCCTGTGAAGAACACTGGCCTGGCTTTGAATGTCCCTGCTGAAGTTCCCCGTTCTGATCAGAAGAATTTAAAGAAAAAGAAAAAAGAAAATTACTTTGGTATAAGATAGGCAGGCATCCATAGGTAGATAACTGGCTGATTTTTTTAATGTACATTTTATTTGTGCAGCAGAAAGATGGAAGCTAACAGGCTGGTCAGATATGTGTAAGATACAGTTTAAATCCAGCAGGAAAAGACACTGATGTCCAGCTGTCACCCAGAAGAAGCACCTCCTAAATACCAGAGTGGCAGCATTCATGCATCAGTTAAAAGATGAAGTTGTAAATCTTTTACTTTGGAAGCTGGTGATGAGTGTTTGCACAGTAAGGACACAGTGCACAACGTCAAAGTCCCCAAAGGGGATCTGGGGCTGCCGCAAGCGGGCCTTCGTCGGGAAGCTGGATCCTGCTTCGTAGGAATAGAATGTCCTTAATCCAAAGTCTCACCGTATAACCACAATGTATTTCAGCTGAAGACAATAGCAAGTCAGGCACCTTGTAAAACCACACGAACATCTGACCCCGTGAAATGTATTTCTGGCTATGCGCCTAGTCGGGCTGCGGGCCTATATGAAACACGCGTAGTGTTTACGTGAAATATACAGTATTATAATGTAAAAAAAAAAAAAAAACATTTTAAAAACTAAATGTAGCTCATTAGCTGACAGCCACAGCTAGTCAATCACTCCTAAAAATAACGTATCAAAACAAAATTTTCAAAAACATGTGGTTTATCTCCCGAAGAAAATAAAGTCTGCTAATTTCTGTCTACATGACGCGATAATTACAAAGTACCTAAAGTAAATATTTAAAGGCTGTTAGTTAAGTATTATTTTGCTTTCCCATAAAGATAGACCCAGGTGACAGTAAAATGGCCCGTCAGTAATGTGGCATAAATAACGTATAAATTATACCCATACTGATTAACACCCACGGTTATAATCGTATTAAATTACGACGACTCACATTAAATTAAACAGATTCACTAACTTATCGGTAACGTGGTCTCCGGATAGACAGCTTTAATTACTGACGTTAGCACTCAGTAATTAGGCCACTTAGCCCGGTCTGGAAAAGTCTCATAAACCTCAGCCGCCGATACGGGTGTTAGCGCCTCCTGCAGGTTAAGAGCTTCATTACAGTCACGTGGACACATGTGATCATACACTGCATGCAGAGACGCTGAGTACCAATAAAGAAGGTAAGATGCTTACCTGTAAAGAAAAAGCAGGCCGTTTGTCTGCTTGATTATCCCTGTGATCGTGTTACGCGCCTTTGCTCAGTTCATACATGATGAGCAAGGGGCTCGCGCGTGCCGTCACACGCCTTTGTTCAGTTCATATATGACCAGCATCGGGCGAATTCTTACATACAACATGCCGCTCACACGTGGATATGGCACACTGAAGACACACCCCTTCGTTCGGTTAATATGTGATGAACGTGGGGCGACGTATTACATAGACCCGTGTATTTCAACCTTTTTTGAGCCACGGCCATTTTCTTCCATTGGAAAAATCCCACGGCACACCACCAACCAAAAATGTTACAAAATAACATTCTGTAGCCTAGTAATGACAAAATAGTCTCTCAATTTATTTATTCTCACTCAGTGTGAAACCTGAGCCTGTTTGGATGAACACAAAGCTGATATCCCGGCATGAATTGAAGACAGACACACAAAAGCTCTTCCTCAAGAGCTCTCAGTCTCTCTCTGTTTTTAGTTTTTATACTGTATGAGTCAAGCTTGAAAAGCTCAGCTCACACAGATGTTGTGGAAAACGGGAGTAATGTTGAAATAGCTTTGTTTGTTAAGAATACATCACTATTACAGCACAGACAATCGACAATGGCATATTATTTGCAAATAATAATTCGATCATTTTCAAAAAAGTTTAGACCAATTAAGTGAAATTGGATAATTTCCCACGGTACACCTTACAATCTCTAGTGTGACGCGGCACAGCGGTTGAAAATCACTGACATAGAACAGAAAAGAATCTAAGTATCTTAATGTTCTGTTTTATGTATACAACTCCCCACATACAACGTTTCATAGTTTATCTATACGTTTTTGTAACGATAGAAGGTTCTCACACAGTTTTTTTTTTCTTCAAACCATTAATGGGAACATCAGGTTGAACAGGGTTCGTTAATCTGTCCGTACACGAACAAACATGCCCGTGGAAGAAAAATGTTCTGATTGAGGAAAAAACCGAGTGCTGTTTTTTATATATATATACTGTAAATGGTTCGGGCAGCAAGGGCAGGTGCCCAGGCATCCCCACCCCTACAGGTTCAGAGTCCAGAGTCTCAGGAAGGTATTTATAGAAGTGGGATGGGCGGCAGCCTCTCCGATGCTGTGCAGATTGCACAGTAAAAAGTCACAACTTTATAGATATGCAAGCAAAGGGCACAGTGACTTACTGCTCAAGATCAATTCCATGCAGGCAGGTAAAGCTGCTTCTAATTAAGTCATGTGCGCTTGCTTCGAACCCGTTTTTCCTCACTCAGTCGGCCCAATTATTTGAAAATTATCTGCGCAATTTGCCATATAGAAACCCAATTAAATTCGGTGCATTCTGACGTCATTCCTACTAGTTAGAAGTGAATTGAGGATGTCTTAAATGCTCGTGTGTACTGGTAAGAACTGAATGAGAGATATCTGAAATGCCAGTATGGCTTTGTATGTTGTACTTGTACTACTACAATGCAGATATCTAAAATTACTATCCGCTTACTTACTTAATGTTAAAAAGGCCACTTATTTTTTTAAAGATTTGAAGAAATATAAAAATATAATATTTTTTTTTTTACTAGGAGAGTAAATTCTATGTGTCGTTAGGAAGTTGTAGATACTTTCAAATACAGCTTTTACTAGTAAGAATAGACTTTTGGATCTCCCTGATGAGTGATGACTAGCAAAAATACTATTCTTACTAGGAGAAACGGAATTCTGGAAATCTAAAATACAGTTGCACATAGGAAAGGCGTGTGTTTAAATGTTAAGACGGCTTGCCCTAATCGCCCATACCTAGTTTAAATATGTGAGTGTGCCCTGCATGAGTTGACACCCCACCCTGGCTTACTCCTTGCCTTGCGCCCGTACCTTCAGTTATAATCTCCGGACCCCATCGACCCTGCATAGGACAAACGGGTGTAGTTAATGGATGGGTGGCTGTATTATCAAAGCGACGTTTTCTTGCGTGAATAGCCATGTGCGCGCCAACGTTAAAATTTGGGAACCCACGTTCTAAATGAGAGGCATGCGTTCTCTGTAAAAATTTGATTGTCAATTACAGTTCTGGTTAATTGTAGCTTATCCTATCTATGTAGACCCAGCTGTGAATATTCGTTTTTTCCGTGCGGTCGTGTAATTATGTCTTTGGAGAAATATGAGGATTAGAGTTCACACCCTTTCTGCATAATACAGGATCGTCCCGTAATAAACAAATAAAACGCGGTGTTCCTTTTTGAGCTAGTACGGGACGCAATTTCCCCCGTATTTTCGGATCATGTCACCTCCCCCCCCCACAGGCTAAACAGTGCTGCATTCGATTGAAATCAGCAATCAATGGGAAAATGTTTAGGGCTATAGTGTACTTAATGTTTTAATATTTATATTTACTATAGTATTTATAATAATGTCTAATATATAAAAAGATGTCGTTTTGAAAGCAGCATATGTTGCTCCAAAATCTGTTTACTTTACATTTTTCAGGATTTTATATGACAAGATTTGAAATTATACCGGGGCTGTCAATCTAGTGTTCGCTTAACTTTTGGTCAACAGGCGAAAGTGATACATACATTCATGGGTATTCGCGTACACGGATAGATTACGGTATCGGCAGCCTGCATAATGCATTACACAGGCAATCCTCAAGTTAGGAATTTGAAAGTCGGAAAAATAATACGATACATAATATAACGTAATAACAGAATTAATTACATATTATACTGTACCTCGAGCCGACGAATTGCAGAAGTTAGGCAATATTTAGACGAGCGTCACAAAGTATTGCGTACCATTGTACAGTATTTAAGCCAAATTTTTAATACTGTAGGTTATATGGCAGGAAAAGCCTTACGTAAGAACGGACTAAGGGTACTGCTCGTACACTGAATTGCAGCCGCCAAATCTTGTGACCCGAAAGAAACTGGGGAAAAATCAGGGACTCTGCAATGAAAAAAACTTCAGGTGACTTGTCATCTTTGTACATGATATTAGAAAGATTTCATGACTGGGTTGCACCATCAACCTTCAGCGGAGGGGTCACGATATTTGATAGCAGCCACCAAATCTTGTGACCCCCAAAGCAACTAAGAAAAAATCAGGGACTCTGCAGTCAAAAATACTTCAGGTGCATCACCACAAATAAAAATTGTAATCCTGGAAAGATTTCATATCTTGGGTGTTCAGGTTCTCTCTGTCAAAGGGATGACTAATTAACACCGCTCTCATCAGATTTGGTGACCCAAGTGTGGCTACTGAAGAAGCAACAATGTACCATTCATCTTCAGGCAACAATGTGCTAAGTGGGTCTTCAAAAAGACATGTTCATCGTGTTTACACACTTCAGACAGCTGTCGTCTTACTATTGCCAGCAGTCCTACATTTACTGACACTTGCAAATAGGGTTACCACCCGTTCCTTTTTACGTGGGATGGTCCAGTATAATACGGTAAGGAGCATTTTATGTTCCAGTACGAGACGATCACGTGATATACGAGACGAGTGGCGACACTAATTTTAATTGTGACAGCAAATGCAGTTCACTACAATACAGTATATAATGAATCTCAAAATTGGCTGCATCAGCCGATTTGCTAAGAGTTGTGTAAGTACCAGAATGTGAGACAGCAGTTAGGTAGCCTAAAGTAAGATGAAACCGAGAAGCAGAACTATCGTGTTGTTTTCCCAGTTGTCTTTGAAATTTCGCTTAAATTGTAAAGTGGAGATAATTTTTTCTTTTTATTTTAAGTTAAAACAAAGCGAAATAAAATTATTTTACTTTCCCCCGAACAAACGGGGAAATTAGACACAGCACTGCCGACGTGTTTCGGCGCTCAGAAATACCCACTCTCGTAGCCTCCTATATAATGTGCAAGAACACGCAGTTAAATTGCATTCCGTAAAATGCGTAGAGTGCTCGTGCACGTGAACGGAAACCTCGCGAACATGTGCAGCAGCGCCCATAGGGTCACAGAATTTGGTTAGAGTCTTTCAGCATCATACACCCTCCTCTAGGTGACCTTACAGGGGAGGATCAGCCCCCAACACGTGTCCAGACAACTAGCTACTCTGACTCCACGACTCTCCTCTCCTGAGCCCCAGCCGTCTTACGGCTCTCTGCCGTTTCGATGGTACTGCGGACGGCTTTCCTCTTCCTCGCTCCTGAAGGCTTACTTCTAAAGACTAAGGTAGACACCGGTTTCACCTTGACACTGATTTCTAAACTCTATTCCATCATTTTATACTGAGGATTGTGTGTTGTGGTTTATTCTACTTATTGATAATTTTTAATTCCAAAGGCAGATGTTTTATTTAGTGTACAGTTGCACCCTTAATTGGAGTTCTGATCAGTGACAAAAACATCTAAATTTACAAAATATAAGAAATTCACAGTACACTAAGGATAGTGAAGCTATATTATTTGTCCTGTCTTTCAGTATGCTTTAATCTGAATACTCTGAAATGAAGTCCAAAGTACACCAAGTGTAAATAAATCAACAGCACTATAAAAGTACAGAAAGAATATTTTGATATAACATTACTACAAAATCTCTCCAGTTTTGTGGAACAAATCCTGAAGTTATGCAGAGGAGCACCCCTGTTGACACAGAACACAGCTCTGTAACACAATACGGACATTTAAAATAAAGCGACGGTATTAAAAATAAAAGGTTAACGGCTTTAGTAGCCTAACAGACAATTCAGACACCAAAAATGTAAGTCATTTACCAACACAAATTGTAACTATTTGTAACTATGTATGAATGTCCGTGTGAAAGACTAGAGACCTGCAGTTTGACACACCCATCAAGTATAAAACATGAGCACCTGTTGTAATTTAATGATTAAACAGTCATACGCAGCAATGAACGGCTGAATTTGATGACTTCAACCAACACCTGATTTAACTTGCCACCCATTTGTTGCAACATTGACTTACTCTGAAAAGTAACCCTGCCTGCTGTGGGTTAACCCCCCCCCCGTACTCCTTAATAGTGCTAAACAGTTCTACAAATGACACCAGTAGGGAGTAAATTCATAATTATTATTCAGGATTCTGTTCACACAGACTGAATAAAATAGCTGTTTTTTGTATATATGATCCTTTTCAAAGTGCTTTGGAGGGAGAAAAAAAAAATGAAAGACTATTAGGATTTTTAGCTGAAAGGTCTTTGCGCATCTGAATGTGTTATAATGCTCATTACAACAAGCTTTCCAACCTTAGAAGAGGAAAAGCAAGCTAAGGATCTTCCGGAAGAACCAGCCGACGGCAGCTACGCGGCAGATGGCAGTTCAGTAAACTCTGGGGAGTTGGGGGGCATTTGATTGAACAGTTTCAGTTAGAAGGAGAAGTATGAACGCGGAGCCCCGCCGTTACAGCTAGAGGGCGCAAAACCTCAGCGGAGAGATGGCAAAGCTAACAAGCGCCATTAACAAGTTCCGCTACCAAGCCCTGAGTCCTTGATTTCTGCAGCAAAAACTCTTTGCACAGTATTTCATTATTATTATTGCATTTATGCTTCACTACATAATCACACAAATAATCTCCCCCCTCTAGCACCACATCGTTCCTCCCAATACGTTACTCCTGTAATGAGCGAGTCATGCTTCGTCCGTATCCGTGTTCCGGACCTTTCCATTAGTCTTTGCTGTAGTGGAGGACGTAGTAGTCATGGACGTACATGAGGACGGCGACGGGCTGGCCGATGATGAGCGAGATCCACACAGCTGCGTTGCCATAGTTACCTCTGAAAACGCAGCTCACGGTCCAGGCCAGAGGAAGCTGGAAGGAGGCTCTAGTCAGTACTGGCTCCGAAGAAAACAAGAAAAGCAGAGTAGCGCTTGCCACTTATCCTGACCTGAGCCATCATGCCCATGAATGCCCACAATCTGAACATCTTCAGTGGAACACTAACCAGGTACTGAAAGAGAGCACACCCACAACAGGAGGTCATCAAGCATTAAACATCACTGCCTATTGTACCAAGGTATGATTAAACAGTCAGCAATTCGACGAGCGACGTCATCGAATGCCAATCACCACGTGGTGTATCTCGTTCTACAGACTAAGCAGTGACTAACTCTGAAAGGATACACTCTGAGCAGTACTTAATAGGGTAAAACACTGATACTGTGGCATAATTACATTTATTAAATTCACCTGGCGTCATGGATCAAATTAAACTCAGAACAAATACCATATTTTTAAGCAGATCAAATTGCATCATTGAGAGAGAAAATAAGATCACCTCACCTCATGGAAGAAGGCTGATACCAAGAAGATGGCTGTCTGTGCCATCCATTTACTCACACCTTTCTTCAGCATGGGTTTGTAGAAGTGGCTTTTGGGGGGGGGGGACACAGAGGCAAATTTTACCAAAACATGTTGAAACAGGCCAATGATGCGACCTGCAGACAATAGGCGATCTGGCGCTCGTGGCTGAGCCCCATATTGACGGCTCGCATCGTGAACGCTGCCGTGATTCGGCACTCTGAGAGACTCGGGAGCAGAGAGCTGGATTGACGGCTCGCATCGGGAACGCTGCCATGATCCAGTGCTCAGACAGACCCTGCGGCTGAGACCCAGACCGATGGCACGCATCGGAAACACTCACTCACCGCAAGCACCACTTATGAACAGGGATGTTCCAGTTCTGCCAGAAGTACGAGACCGTCTCCGAGTTCCTGCAAAAGAGAAGAAGCCGTCGGCTGGTGCTGCTCTTTATGGCTTTCAAAGACAAAGCCCTTCAGAATCTCACTGCGCAGCACAGCACAGGTGTTTAGAAATTTCCTCCCACATTAAGCAGTGAAATCAAGATTTCTAGAAGAAGGTTTGTATTCCCAGTTCATGATTCCCAACTGGAATTCTCACCACCAGTCCCTGTAGAATTCCCGGTCTCCGAACCGCATGAGCTCGGCAATGAAGTTCAGCGAGGAGTGAAAGAACCAATAGAAGAAGACCAACCAGATGAAGTGATTGGGCACCTTTAAGGGCCAAAGGTGAGAAACAAATGACTTATTGCAAAAATGATTCTTCATTAGCTCATTATTCAGGCTTTTTCCTTTTGGTAACTTACAGCGAGTTTGAGGAGGCGCTCAACCATTCTGGAGAAATCCATATTCTGTAGGATCAGGCAACATTAATCGATTCATAGACAAAGGGATGAGCGATATGCTCAAGCAGAGGCAACGGGTGCCCTACCTGGAAGGGCTTCATGGAGTTCTGGATGGACGGCACCATCCACTGGAAAAGTCAGTGAATTAAGACTAAATTTTAGCTACTAGGAAAAAGCAAACTATACAGAACAAGAGTTCTCAATGTCTGGTCCACGGACCAGATGAGAACCAAACCATAAGTTAATCCCAGCCAATAGTGCACCTTATGAATCAAAATGGTTAACATAAAAAGGATTAATGTGATTTGAAGTAAAAAAAATAAAATAAAAAATACAATGTAGAAGTACTGTACCAAGCTTCGCAAACACATACCTCATCATAATCTCCCCCTCCCCCCAATGACAGTCTCGAAACGATTGTTATATACTGATGTCTATATTGACAGTTATAGTTAATTCATTAAATTTCATGAAATGTGGTTTTGTCATTGAAAATTGCTCCAGACCTCTGACTTTGAACAAAAAATCTGATGCAGACCTTAAATTAAAAACTTTGAGAAACCCTGATATAGATTACAACATACCTGCTGTATTAATCCGACCAATAGTTGCATGAGGAACAGCTGAAATGAATGAGAGATCGAAAATGTCACATTTTCGTAGAAAAGGTCGACACATCCAAGAAGTGCCTCGGACACGGCGACCGCCTGAGGGCACGTCACCGTGGCGACAGTGCGTCTTTTTAACCACGAGAGTATCTCACCATCTCAAACAGCCGCCTGAGAAGGAACCGAATGCGTATCCGCGGCGACCGTGGGAAGTTCAGCTCGTAGCAGAGTGTCGGGGCGAAGATGAAGTAGTACATGTCTGGAAGGGAGGACAGTGTTGGGATGTGTATGCAGCAGATCCGGGGGGGGGGGGCAGTCCAGGGTCCCGATGGTACTCATTCACTCACCTCTGTAAGTCAGGTTCCCAGGGTAGAACACCCGGGAATGTACCGCTGCTCCGTTTGAGTTCTGAACCAACGGGCCTGCGGAAGGTAGGCCGACGTCAAGAGGGCAGGTCCTGCTTAAACCCTTACTCATCCACACTGATATTTCACTGATCCCATACCTGCCAGTAGATGGCGCTCCAGCAGAACTTTATCATTTAAGTCATTGTATACAGTTTATGTACGATTATCGGGAAAATAAGTTTGAATATTTATTTCAGAGGTTAAAAGCGATCCATTCTTAAGGTGCTACTAGCAATAAACATATTAGCTGTTAATTAAAGTCAGAAGGTCCTGGCACTGCATTGTGAAGAGCTCAGGGCAACGGTGTTAAGTGAGAATGAGAAATCGTGCATGTTGTGCTTTATTAGCTGCCAGTGTGGGCTGAGCGTCTCCGAGGGCGGAGCGACAGACTGAAGCAGCACGGAGACAGCTGAGCCTTCAGCCTCATGACCAGACACAGGGGACCCGCTGCAGGCACCTACAGGAAATGGACCTGGACAGTGAGCGTGCTTTGGCAGCCCTCGTCTCCCTGGACCACTTGTTCACGTCCTTGTAGGAGTAGAGCTTCAGGAAGAGGATGGAGTACACTGCCAGAGTGACGACTCCACCGACTGGAGATGAGAAGACAGCGATTCAGGAGTGAATGTGACGGCGAAGAAGCAGAGCAGACTGTGGTGGGGGGCTCATAATGAAATTATACAGGCTGAATGGGGGGGTCAGACCCCCCTACTGACTGCTACTACTTTGTCAATAGGGCCCATCTGGCACATGGGAACGAGCCTCAGACGAGTGGCGTCACTGTGGGGACACGTGAGCCGGCGCCACACCCCTCCCTGACCTTGATGTATGAACAGCGGCCCCGCGTGGGGCGCGACTGACAGATGGTCCATCTTTGTCACTTCCTGTTGTGATGACATATGAGGCAAAAACGCTACGAAGAAGGATAGAGGCTCAGCACCACCCGCCGCCCTCCCTCCACCCCCGGGGCTGAGCCGTCGAGAGCGGAGCGACCCACATGCTCACGCGGGCGTGCCAAGTGGCTCGGCACCCGGAACGCCCCCCCGCAGCGGATCTGCGGCAGCACTGACCCCCTGCCCTCCCTTAAAGAGCGACCGACCACGTGAGATACAGAGGGCGAGCAAAGCGCCGGCCCCCGCCCTCACCTGGGGTTATGGAGCTCAGAATCAGCACTGTGACCATGGGGAAAAAGAGGACGGCGACCAGGTTCGCAGTGTGAACCAGCGTTCCGGCTTTCTCACTCAGCCTCCCCTGAAGAGACAAAATGGGCCGAGTGACACAGTGCAGCCACACAAGCAGGCAGCCCAAGCCAGAGGAGCAGCTGGGTAGTGCAGCAAGCGACGGCATTTCACTTTAGCACAGGAAGGAAACCCGGCGGATTAAAACTCACCACTGCGAGCCGTCTCTCAGTGAAGAAGGCGACCATTATGGGCACATTCGAGACTGAAAACGAAGAGATGTGCAAAAAGATGTGCAATAAAATCACAATCTAAAATCACATGTGCAATAAAATCACTTACACATCTAATGAGATGTGTCACGATATCACAATAACATACTACAACATGCCGAACAGCGGGGCCGGCAATGAGTGTTCTGGCGCCCTAGTCGACATTCTGCTGTGTGCTCCCACCCCCCAGCAGAAAATAAATTATCATTTCAATTATATTAAAAACATTTCAGCAGTACAGGGCTGCTAACTAGCTAGCTCACGTCTGCTTCACAAGTGAAGTAGTAAAATATATTTTCACTGCTCTTTTGTGCCCCCTAATCAAATGGTGCCCTAGGTGATCACCTGTGTCGCCTATAGGGTGGACCGGCCCTGCTGTCCATTGATAAGCAGTGAAGCCTTAACTGTAAATACTTCACTGTACAGTTAAGCTGGTCATGCAGCATCATCATCCAGGCTTGATGGCTGAATGTGGAGCTGTTCCAACATTTCGCTTTATTAGTACTGCAGTTAATATGGTCGCTTAGCTATGGGTGGCCCAGAGAAGATTATGGGATGCGTTTGTCTCTAAGGATTCCAGTCCTCACCAAGTTGCAAAATATCTCCAAGCGTCTTGATTTTTCACGTATTACGGCGGGGGATTTTTCCTTTTTTGGCCTCAGTAAGTGCAACGTCATTAAGAGGAGGACAGATGGGATGGATGCACAAACAAGACGATTAGGGATGATCTGACGGTCAAGCAGAGGAAACGGGAATCAACAGGAAGTGGAAGAAAGAAGACTCAGCACTCCTGCAGCTAGAGACACTGCAGTCCCCAGGAATGTGAGCAGTGAGACCACAGCATTCTGGTAGCATCCACCCTCCCCCACCAGTAGGGGGCGTGCATGCAAGCAGGGCATCTGGGCGACACCATCTGCATTGCTCCTGGATTTAGGTCATGGGGTGTTTAAGTAAGTAATAAAATGCAATGAATAAAATAAATACAGCCAAGATTACAGCATGCTATATTACTGTGACATGGAAATGTCCACCAGCATGACGAATGAAGACGCAGTTGTTAAGATAATAATTAATAAGGAAAAATAAAGTAAGCAGAAAGGTGTGAGGAGGGTTTGAGGAACTGCATACACCAGCGTTCCATGCTAATTAGCAGCCATTACCTTGATGTCACCAACACCGGTCTGCACAAAGAAACAGCAAAACTCATGAGGAGATATTTAAAGGCACACAAACTAGCTAAAGACGACAGCAAATGAAATGCAAACGGAAAAGGACCCGGGGCAGATCGGCCCGGAAATGCTGAGGTCACGTTTACTGGCTGCTTATGGCTCCTTCACTCACAATTCAGAAAGGCAGTTACGTGACAATTAGACAGTTATGTAATCTTGCAGGCCATGTCCTTCACGGTGTCAGGGAAAGCAACCTTTAAGTCAGGCCTCACCCACTAAGAAGCAGGTAATGCGGGTCTTAGCTCAGGCCTCTGCTCATCCTAGAGGGACCTGTCCTCTTCTTTGCATCGGCTCCTTCATACTGTCACTACTGCAAGCTCATTTTTTAGGGCCATTAGGTGAAATAAAATCTGCAATGCGAATTAACACCTGACTCTGGCTCTATGCGTTCTGCTCGCTCCCGTAGTAGTTTGAGACACCACCTCTCATCGAAAGTGAACCCACAATGCGGCTATTAAGGCCCAACGCTCATACCTATGACAAGGCAGGGGGCTGGCCAGCTATAGGGGTCCTTCAGGAACAGGGAGATCACCTGTATGGGGTCCACCAGGATGCCATACCTGATGGGAGAGGCCAATCAGAGACAGAGCTGAATGTTATATACACCTAAAAAAAGTTTTTACTCTTGATAAATGTTACCAACCAAGAATAATTTGTTGCCTCAGATATAATGGATGGAGAAACAATTTAACATGCAATCTTGGTTACATGGTTATACAAGGTAATGTGCCCTTCCTCATATTCAGGTCTACATATTTATCATAAAAAACAACAATAGTTTACGCAAGTTTGATGTGACACAATGAAATGAGTTTATTTGTATGGAATTATTTCTGCCGATTGATTTTACACGATGCGACACTTCAGGCAGAGGGTGTTCCTGTGTGGAGGAAGTCCGGGTCGGTGAAGTCGCAGAGCCCTAAAGTGAGGACCGCAAACGCCCCCCCAGTGGTGGTGTGAAACACTTACTTGAGCACATTTTCCAGAAAAAGGCGAGCGTTGCTCAGGACCTGAAAGAGAGAAGCCCGAAGCGAACGTGAGGCGGCGGCGTTGGCTGAGAGCAGGCGTTCGTCTTTTATTCCGACCATCACGTTATCATTAAAGCACTAAAGCCAGCCGCAGAAACACAAAGATCTCAGGGGCACCAGGGAGTCCCTGCCGCACTGCTGCAATGTAACCATCCCTTTCTAGCCAGCGAATCAGAGCAGACGACCGAAATTACACCAGAGCGCAGCCTGACATTGTTTAATGGCAGCTCACAGCGTCAGGCGGGACACTTTAGCTTCTCATTAAAGTGGGCAGATTTCGGACAGGACCTCTAGGTGACCCTCCGCTGCATGGGACTTCAACCTTATTTACTGTGAGAGCTACTTCAGCAAATAATTTGGGGAGCTTTGTCTTTGATATAATACAAGATTATATCGCCCAGGGGAGGGTAGGTTTGGCTGCATCATGACAACCCATGAGATTAGCACCCCAATGCACTTGTGTACAGGCAAAATAATAATAATAAAAAAAACATTATTAATCTCTTTTCTAAAAAGCGTTATGAGAGTCTGACTCCCTGTGAGCCACTAGTAGCAGCAGGTTAGCGACCACCGCTATACTGGATAATGGGATAGAGAAATAAATGTATTCGAGTTATTACAAAGGACCGTGTTTCATCAGCTGGGATAGTACAGGTTACACATCACTGCATACTACAAAGACAACACACTAAATATCTCCTATACGTCCTCAGTGGGTCATACCATTTTAATTTAACAAATGGCATTTGCATCACCATTTTTGATTTTGATTAAATGCGGCCTGTGAATTACACATATATCTTCCAGAGCTCAGAAATATTTATTTAAATTTGCATTTTTTTTCCTTTTGACATATAGCACTTTCTCTCTACTTTGGGTAGCAAAAAAAATTATAATAGTGCTTTCTTATGAACTGCAACATTTTTATTATTACAGCTATATGGCTCAGTGAAAAAACTAAAAGAATAAGAACATAAGAACTATACAAACGAGAGGAGGCCATTCGGCCCATCGAGCTCGCTTGGGGAGAACTTGACTAATAGCTCAGAGTTGTTAAAATCTTATCTAGCTCTGATTTAAAGGAACCCAAGGATTCAGCTTGCACTAC